TCGTTATTCACGCCATACACAAATTATCGCTACATATACATGTCAAAAGTCTATCACCATTCGTGAAAATAACATTTCTCCCAGATGATGGACTAAATATAAATTCATAAATCTTTCTATCAATAAGCCTACGATCCGCAAAATTTGTAGTAGATGATTCAAGATTTGATTCTCCGGTTACTGTTTTTAAACCCTCGAAGTCCATAGCTAGGTTAAATGGAGCGTGGATCGCTCTTGATACATGAAGCAAAAAGGGGAATGAGCGGGACGTTTAACGGTCAAAAGTGCGATACAATAGAGATAAAACTTCTTCTAATAGTGCAGTTAATATAAGACGGACTTTCTTGTGTGGAGGTTTAATTTAGCATTGACGCTATTATATATCACATCGGTGGAAGAGAATGTTTCAACAAAATGTAATCAAGATTTAATACCGGCTTTGCCACGCTTATGCTTATTTGAAACGGACATAGAATGCTTGTGTTTGGGTATTTTTCGACCCACAAGTTTTTGTGAGAATGAGCTGTAAAATATATTTATGATTGTAATTAGTTAGAATCAAGGATTATAGTTAGCTAGTTTAGAGGATATATTTTTTAAGATTCTTTCTTTTCTTTGTATATATATACGCCTCTAGGTCATTGTAAACGAATGAAGAAGAAATACAGAAAAGTGAGGAATGTGGTTTTCTTCCTCGAAATATCTTTGTGTTAACAGTTTTCCCAGTTCGACTTTATTCAATCGATCTCATCCTTTTTGTCTTACCATTGAAATTTATTAAATTTTCTTCTTATCTGACCAAAGTGTTCAACACGCACATTTGCGAGATGAACAAAGTAAAATCAGAATCTGCACTTGACTTTACAAATTTCCCAATTCCAAGTGTTCATGTGAAGCAAAAAGAAGACGAAAATAAAGTATTTAATATGTTCTTTAAGTCAAAACCGATGAAAAAATAAGAATCACTCCACGGTGCGGTTTCAGGGGAAGTTCTTGTTGTTCATGACGTAATTATTCAAGTGCAATCTCTGGGAAAAGTGTTAGAAAAGTTTTAAACATATTGCATTGGTGCCAATTTAATCATAAACCTTTTAATGGTCTCAATTTAGTCCAAAACCTTTTAATGTAGTGTCAATTTAGTCATTCCGGCTAATTTTGGCTGGATATTACTGATATGAACGCTGGGCGGCCTAGCCTGCACTAACGTGGACAAATTTTAATAATATTTTAATATTTTTTAAATATTTTTTTTCTCCTCTTCCTTCTTCCTCCGGTCGGCTAGAGGCTAAGCCTTGCCGGATAGCCACGAGGGCGGCCTCGCGCAAGGCTAGCAAGACCGTGCCACGTAGGCTGCAGGTCGAAGGTCGCGGCCTCTGGCGAGGTCGACCTCGCCGGACTACAACGATCGGCTGGAGGAAGAAGGGAGGGGAGGAAAAAGAAATAAAAAAAAAAAAGAAAAAAATAAAAAGAAATGAAAAAATAATTAAAAAATTCGAAAAAAAATTAAAATATTATTAAAAGTTATCCACGTTAGTGCTGGCCGTGCCAAGTAGGCCGGCCGGCATCCACGTCAGCAATATCCGGTCAAAATTAGTCGAAAGAACTGAATTGATACTATGTCAAAAGGTTTAGGATTAAATTAGCACCATTAAAAAGTTTAGGACTAAATTGGCATCAATGCAATAGGTTTATGGCTTTTTTGACACTTTTCCCTGCAATCTCTTTTGGGAGGATAACGCCCACCTAAGTGGATAAATTTGTCATAAGTTAGTTTGGGGTTTTTTATGGTATTAACCTAAAAAAAAACGATGGTGCTTTATGTGATTTTAGAAAAAACATATAATCTTAAAAATGACCGCAATGTTGTATAAGCGGACAATTACGATTAGGGCATGTCATTAAGTGCTTTTGTCAAAATTAACTTTTAAGAAAGATAGTTTGTGGATATCAGTAAAAAGAAAGTGGGACTCTTGCACTGGTTGAACGGGTTGTGGTTTTTTTCTTCTTGGGGAAAATACTTAGTGGCTTAAAATTAAACTTCAAATCATATAGTATTAATTATAAACTTTGATACTTGAAAACATATCTTATTTCTTTAATTCTTTGTTTTTTCTATCATTTCTTCGCACTGCGATTATAGAGATTGTTGCGACCTATCTTCCCGCAGTGCACTACCTAGAGGTTCGGCTAATGGATTATTAAGTCTAAGCCTAACTCGGGCTCTCTCAAGCCCTGTCAATTCGCGACTTAGGTTTTAAGTTCTTAACATGCAAATATTTTCGTGCTGAAGTCGCCACTAATCTATTTGTTGTGGATCGATTAGAAACCCAAATAAAATTTAGAGAGATATGTTTTATTTCTACGAACTAGAGATTTTAAGTTCGGAGACTTGATTACGTCAGATTTAATCTAACGCCCTTTTGGTACTTTTTTGAAAAAATGCTTAAGCAGACAGTCTGGATCCATTTTATTATCTAGTTGCTAACATGTGGGTTGCTAGCATGTGGGGTGACTATGCAGGTGCGCAGTCCACCAATTTAACACTCGATAAAGAAAGCAATAAATAAATTACTAGCTTAGAAGAACAACGTACCTTTTAGCAACGTAAGCATCTGCAATCTTAGTTAGAAAATTATACAAATAACCCTAACATGATTTCTAATTAACAAGCAATTTACTCGACGTAATTTTTTTTTTGGGATTTTTTTTATTAAGATGAAAACTAACCTAAGTGCAATGACGTGCAAAATATGACATGCAATTAACGAAACCTAGCATGTCATGCGACGAAGTGACCTAATGCTAATGACGGGCAAACGATGTATTTTTTTGGGTATTTTTCATTAAAATTCGGAATAATAAAAATGCCTAGATTAACATGCAATCTATTCTAGCAAGACACTCAAGATGACACTCTTTTTGGTATTTTTTATTATGAAAATTCAAAACTATAAAATACCCTAAATAATCTATTAGGACTAGAATAATTCCTAATTTAAACTTGGAAATAAGCTACCCTAAATCCTAATTTAAATTAAGAAGCAATCTTATCTTCTAGATATATTTAGGTTATCCTAAATATGCAATATTTCTAATTTAGATTCTAACTAACATTTTTGGATTTTCTTTTTAAAGGAAAATAAATCACACAAGAGATAACAATCACACGCCGACCATCCACGCAATCCGCAAGATCTTTCTTATCATGTTTAAAATTAGAAAACGGTTTGGGCTATCGATCATATCCATAGGGTCATGAATATCAATAGAAAACCGACCGTTTGAATTTGAAAAGTAGATAAATCTGTCATCGTATCCAAGTGGTTATGGATAAGATAACGATTTCTGTACTGCCGCGTATCGTGTCTTAGGGTTAAGGCCAGATAGTCGTTCATATACGTTGCCAAATTAGGAAAACTTCCTAATTTGAGGTGCTTTTTAATATTGCGGATATCGCACGCATTATCCTTACAATATCTAGCAATCCACCAAAATATTCGCGAAATATACAAAACACGTGAAATTAGGAATTTAAATATTTTTAAAAAAGGATTAGATAAGATTCTTACCTAATTTCATGAATATTTCCAATTTGAATTCGCGGATCGGGATCGGGGGACGGCCAACGGCGGGTGGGCGGCGACGGTGGACCGGCGGCGATGGACGGTGATGAGGCAAGGGTATGGTGACGGACAGCACGGGATCGGCGGTGACCAGGCTTGGCGTCGAGCTTGCGGTGGGTCACGATTGGCTCAACGGCGTCACGGTGAGGTAACAAAGCAGCAACTCACTGGTCAACACCTTGGGATTCTCTATTCGCAGATCAAACTCTCTCTTTTACTTTGACCATGCAACCCACCAACTCTCTCGGTTGGATGCCTATTTCTTTGACCATCGAATGACTCTAAGTTGGGTTGGACTTCAGCGAGGGAACTCGTCGGGAAACAGCAAGCGCGTCGGAGGAAAATCGCTAGCGTCGATGGGATCAGCTCGTCTCAATGAATATAATGCTTCGTCGTTGAGGCTCGGATCAAATTGAACTTCGTCGAAGGGGCTCCAAGATGGACGTGCTGCTCTTCACCACGTGGGAAGCGGTAACAGCAACACAGGCACAGTGGCAATCGTGGAGCTTGATGGCCCCACGCAGCGAACTACAGGAGGAGAGGAGATCTCTCAATTGTTTTTTTTTTCTTCTCTCTCTGTATTGCGTATGTGGAACTCTCTCAATCTATTCTGGAATTTCTCCACGCCCCCCATGATTATGAGGCATAACGACGTATTTATATCGCATACCTATGTTAATTGGCTCGGTTTTCAAGACCTAATAGGCTTTAACTTAAGCTTTATCGCTTAATTTTATTTTAATCTCAAATGGGCTGAATTAATTTAGGTTTTTCTCTAATTAAGCTTAATGGGCTGATTTAAGCTCAAATTAAGACGGTCAAAGCCTTTTAGACTTGCGATTTTCGGCCCCTATCTCCTGAGTGAGCCGAGTTTCATTCGATGCCCGAGCTCGGTTTATGCGATGGATCTTCAGCTCATTCCCCACCGCCGGTTCGATGTGGAATACAATTAACTTATATGAACCTAAACTATATGCTATGCAATTTTAATATTTTTGTTTGGGGGTTAAAATTTAATCCCTAATTTTCTATGCAATTAATCACTAAATGTTTAGCCAAAATTTATGTGTCAACGGAGATTGACAACTAATGCACTATTTCTTTGAAGGCCCTTGTGTTGGTGGTGTCGGCCGGGGGGTTTAGAAATTTATAAGACTTGGAGGATTAAATCGAACAAGACATGTTTCACCAAGTTACATACTCTACACAATAGATGGAAATTAACCATCGGAAATGTTATACAATTTATTTGTGCCAAATTGGCTTTATTATTGGTTCCTATGAACCTCTATATTTGCATCTGCGTATTGAGCTCTTGGCATCTAATCTCCACAACACATACATCCCCATTGATGAGCGTCCTTTGATGAGCTCCAGCTATATGAGATCAGCAGTTATGCCATGACTTAGGAACGCGACTGGATTAACCACATGTGGAGTAGCCATTGCGCAACCGGCGAAGGCCCTGGTGTTGGTGTCAGAAAAGGGTTTTGGGGTGCCTGGAGTGTAGCCTTGCGGATTTCTGGGAGGGGGCACCGGACCCTTTTCCAGGGTTTGGAGAACAAGAACGCTCGTCTTATCGTTAGCCCATGCTTCCTCTTTGCCCTTGAAGGCCCTTGTGTTGGTGGTTTCAACAAGGGGTCTAGGGCTGCCTGGAGTGTAGCCTGTCGGATTTCCGGGAGGGGGCACTGTACCCTTTTGCAGGGTTTGGAGAACAAGAACGCTCGTCTTATCGTTAGCCCACGCTTCCTCTTTGCCCTTGAAGGCCCTTGTGTTGGTGGTTTCCGTGAAGGGTCTAGGGCTGCCTAGAGTGTAGCCTGTCGGATTTCCAGGACGGGGCACCATACCCTTTGGCAGGGTTTGGAGAACAAGAACACTCGTCTTATCGTTAGCCCACGCTTCCTCTTTGCCCTTGAAGGCCCTTGTGTTGATGGTTTCAGTGAGGGGTCTAGGGCTACCTGGAGTGTAGCCCGCCGGATTTCCGGGAGGGGGCACTGTACCCTTTGGCAGGGTTTGGAGAACAAGAACGCTCTTCTTATCGTTAGCCCGCACTTCCTCTTTGCCCTTGAAGGCCCTTGTGTTGGTGGTGTCAGCGGGGGGTCTAGGGCTACCTGGAGTGTAGCCTATCGGATTTCCAGGAGAGGGCTCTGTACCCTTTTGCAGGGTTTGGAAAACAGGAATGCTTGGCTTATCATTAGCCCACGCTTCCTCTTTCCCCTTGAAGGCCCTTGTGTTGGTGGTTTCAGTGAGGGGTCTAGGGCTACCTGGAGTGTAGCCTGTCGGATTTCCGGGAGGGGGCACCGTACCTTTTGGCAGGGTTTGGAGAACAAGAACGCTCTTCTTATCATTAGCCCGCGCTTCCTCTTTGCCCTTGAAGGCCCTTGTGTTGGTGGTGTCAGCGGGGGGTCTAGGGTTGCCTGGAGTGTAGCCTATCGGATTTCCTGGAGAGGGCTCTGTACCCTTTTGCAGGGTTTGGAAAACAAGAATGCTCGGCTTATTGTTAGCCCGCGCTTCCTCTTTGCCCTCAATTAGAACCCTACATGCCTCGTTTGGTTGCACTAATGCTACCACAAAAAATAGCAAAATCACACCAACTCTCAGGAACTTCCTCATCTTATAGCTATATTCCTGGTTTTTTTTTTCTGCTTTTTTGGGTCTTGGGACGATTTTTCACTAGCTTTAACGAAATGGACGATGAAGGATGCCTTTTCTTGAGAAAGATATCTCTCGTATTTATATACAAACACAAGCTTAGAGTTTCTGTGTGTTTCTTTGATACTTCCGATTAAATTGTTGGACACGGGTGTTTGATTATTGGCTGCCAAAGTTGGAGAAGAAATTTGGATTTGAATACACTGGTTATAAAGAGAGGGAATAGAAGAAGAAGAAGAAGAAGTAAGAATTTGATTTGGTCGGTCATGGAACAACTAATGTCTCGTCTTCGACGTACTCGTTTGTTGTGTCATGTCCACAACGCACGGGAATGATGTAATCATATGCACAATTGGTCACACACGACAAATTTCAGTACGTCCAATTGATTTTTGGTTTTTATATTTCCATCGTCACGAGAAAAAATGGAAAACAAAAATACTAGTACGAAAGTATCATCGCCAACAATAATTATCAATGTCTCCATCTACTTAATTTTATAAATATCAAACTAATCTTAAATCAGTAGTTATTTAATTTCCAAAATGAAAACTATAGAATCGTGTATCGTTTTAGGATCCTGACACTATATTATAAACCTTAGCTATACGTCTCAAGTTCTCAACAAAGAGACCCAAGAGCGTAGCATTCGACCATGGGACTCTCCAAGGCCAAACTCACGAACCCAGTGCAAACCTCGATCCCTACCCTCAAACTTGGAATCTCGAGGATCGGCTCAAATTAGGACTTAATAAGCCAAGCTTAAACCCTGGACCTCGTGGACAAACCCAAGTTAATGTGGAGGCAGTCAGGAGACTCCAGGGTATATATCCGATCGAGTATGCTTGTCACAACGTCTTAGTTTTTTTATTTCCCATAACGAATATTAATGGAGTAGTAATAAAGTTCAACGATTAATAATATTTCTTGTTAAAATCTGGTTATTCAAATTGCCATAATTTAGAATGCAAGCTTTTCTGATTTGTTATACAATTGTAAAAGCGTGATAATAGATTTTTAGATTCTATAAAAACAATGCTGCTTCAAGGAAAATAACGATATCCATCTTTATGATTTACATACTGTATAGTCTTCATCTATGTACTACAAATAAAGCGTTATTAAATACATTTGATTTTGGAATAACATCCCTCGGCTGAAAATTGCACGAAGTTCCATCAATGTTTTTTGGCGGGAACAACATAACTGTTGTTTCTGTAAATATAACAAAAATCTTTAATACACGGTTTCGGTTGGCCATAATACTTGCATTTGGAGGTGTCTAATGACCAACATATGTTTCCAAGAAAATCCATAGAGGAGTATGTTTGGGTTCGATGATTTTCTCAACTCTAAGTTTTAACCTTTTTATTTAGTTGACCTCGTATACCCTTTGACCTGCTTTGAAATCTCTTCATCAAAATTGACTTTTTATTTGACCGTCGCGAATCGTGAGCAGCATTGGACACGTTATAAGGTTGCACGATCAAAGTAAAATCTGAATCCAGACTTGACTTTTCCGTCTCAAAGTTTCCACAGCCGAGAAGAGACGTATTGGGGGAAATAAAAGGATAAAAAAAAAGTTATAGACATAAAATATATATTGTGTCGTTCTCTTTTGCCAAACAAAAAGAGAGTAATTATTACACTTGCCCGACGTTTTTACCTAGAGAGATTCGTATCAAACGGTATAGGAGCTTCTGCGGCATCTGCGAACAACTTACATTTATCAACTTTTATATGAACTTAGTAGCTTTTTTCGATTAAGGTACTAACTAGTCGTGGGTCACTAGCTCTCATTTGAATTATTTGTCAACATTTCTTTGGTTTTTGTTAAAATCGTTGACTCCAACTTTATTTTCCAATAAACATATAAGTTGGTAAATTTTAAGAAATAATATAATAAAATTTGGTAACTAATTCAAATGAAAATTCGTTTCTCGCAACTAGCCAATAATTTACCGGAGAAAATTTGAAAAATGACTTAATATAAAGTTAGAAACTATATATAGAGCCAGTAAATTTAAGGCGTAATTAAGAAAAATAAATAAAATTTGAAAAAAATAAAAAAAAATTAAAAGAAAAATAAGCTTGGAAAGGAACTCATTTGGTAACCTAAAATTAGTTGGCAACTTAATGGAAAATAAATTGATAAGTTACGCTAATTAAAGTTGGTAAATTTGAAGAAAAGTTGGTAAATTTTAAGGTGTTGCCATAAAATGCAAATAAAATTAGTAAAAGAAATAAATGGAAAATTAAAAATAAATAAATATCGGTAAGTAACTTAAATGAGATTTGGTATCCCAATAGTATTAGCTAGTAAGTTGTAATTTGTCATATCAAAACCAATTTTTCAGAATTTTTTTTTGGCTCAACATATTCATTGACTGAGTTGTAATTTGCTGAAGTTATCAAATAATTTACGGAAAAGTTTAAATAAGGCCTTGAAGTGGACCATGTGTCAAATAAGAGTCTGAAGTGGCCATGTCAGTCTCAAACAAGAGCTTGAAGTGGTCATGGCAGTTTCAAATAAAGGCCTAACCTCATCGGTCACCGGTCTGCTAAATATTCCAGCCGATCAAGGGCATTTTTACACAAAGATAATTTTTATTTTAAATTTAAATTATTTTTTCCAACTTTTTTTTTTCTTTTTTCCACCGACTATCGACGATGCTCGATCATCGTGCACAAGTAAAACTTGGAGAGGGCTGGGCGATGGTTGCCCTCGCCAGACGTAGGTGAGGCTGCCCTCGAAAGCCACCTCGCCAGCCTCGCCTATGGCTTTCGAGGGTGGCCTCACCTAGGCTAGGGTCACAACTCGCCTAGGCGAGGTCGTCCCTTGTTGGCTGCTAGCGAGGGCCGACCTCACCTATGGCCAGTGACAGTGGCCCTCACTAGATTGAGCGAAAATGCCATTGATCATCTGGAAAGTCAAATCCTTATTTGAAACTGACATAGACACTTCAAGCCCTTAATTGGAATAACATTTACTTCAGACCCTTATTTTTGAAAATGATGACACTTCAGATTTTTATTTGAAATAATGTCCACTTCATGCCATTATTTGAGAAAACGAGAGCACCTCAGACCCCTTATTTGGAATCTTCAGAATAATTTATCATCTAAACATCCTAAATAATATTAGGTAATGGAGAAATTTCAAGATGTCATAGTTGCTAATTAATTTTGCGTTGGCAACTCTTATTTAAGTTAATTACCAATGTTTATTTTGTTTTTATCTTCTTTAGTATCCAACGTCTGTTATCTTTAAAAAAATTGGCAAATTAAAACTAATTTTCCTAAAATTTTCCCAACTTAACAAATTCAATAATGGATTCGTAAATTGTCGAAGTTGTCGAATAATTCATTCAAACCATTTAACATCTTAATATCCTCAATAACTTTAAAAAATGAAGAAAGTTACCGACTAACTTTGCATTACCAACTCTTATTTAAGTTGATTATCAAAATTTTTGGGTTTTTTGCTTTTAAATAACCAACTTATTTTGTCTTTGTAAAAAAAAATCCCTTTGTCTTTTATTAATTTTTGTTTACCTTTCTTAACAACGACTTAAAATTACCAACTATTGTATGAAAATACCGAGCTTTATTTGTGGACCACGGGAGCTTAGAATTTGCCAAATGTACATGTCGAGTCCACAATGAAGCTAGAAATAATGTGCGATCTCATCTTTTTACCATTTAAAGAAAAAAATACTATGTAATCGTCCTAGACAAAACAAAAATAAACTTATTCGGACAGACATGCAATAAGCAATTAACTTTTTACAGACACCAATTGAATTCAAAGAGACCTTAAGCTTCGCCAAATAAACAGGCTTAGCCAACATGTCTACTAGGTTCTCCGTTGTTGCGATCTTCACAACAACCTTACCCTTCACCAAAACATCTCAGATGAAATGCTACTTGGGATCAATATGCTTCTTTCACTCGTGATAAACCAAATTAATGTCATGAGTGATTCAATGAATAACTTATGGTGCGTTGCCTAGTTACGACATAATTCATGTGGAGAGACTTTCTGGTTAGTAACATCTTGGTGGGGCTACAGTGATAGGCTCGCCATCCTTGGATCTTTAGGTCGATGATGATATAGAGTAATTATAACTTAAACCGAACATTCGTAGTTACCGCGAGACTCTTATAAAAACGTCCAAAGGAGGTTGCTTGCCTACTATTTAACTTGTCTGAAGAAAAAGGGTAGTCATCGGCAACGACACTTCAAATTTGAACGAGCCTCTTTAAAATCTAAAAGATCGGCTTGCCACCTATGACCATTGAGAAGTTGACAACTATACTAAGCTCCCCGAGATCACAATAGAGAGAGAGAGAGAACGTGATGGAGGTGTAGTTGCAACCCCGCAGCAATGTCGACCTCCTCCCTCTCGTAGGGGAGATGGTAATACGATGGGCGGGACACTAGCTCGCCTTGAATGCGAGGTGCAAGGGAGGCTTGATCGCGACCTTCTTCTCCCCATCTGCAAGGGAGGCCGACATGCTCGGACAAACCCGACCGGAGGCCTCGGGTAATGGTAGTTCGCCATGGCTGGGCAAGGCTAGCGGCACACCCACGACCCTCTTGTCTCTTTCTCTTTGTTTACTAACCTTTACAAGCTTCTATTGAATCCATTATTTTCATTAAAAAAAATTCCACATAAACATTTTCAAAATAGGAAAAATGCCATGCCATTTAAGTCTCAACGTGTTTGACGGCAGTTAATTGGAGGACTTGATTGCATAAATAGAAATAGTTTGAGGAGCTGATTATACAACAAGAAAATACAAAGGATCAAATCCCACGAATGATACAAGAGAGTGGAACAGAACTCCGGGTCTTAATTTAGTATTGACATCGCGTATATATCGTCGGTGGAAGAGAATGTTCCAACAAATGTGATCAAGACATGCTTTTCAACTCTCCGCCCCCACAACTGCGCACT